GAAGGGGTCCATCACAACCACATGGGGGCCCACAAATATATTTGGCACCCAGCCCACAAAAGGTTGATCCGGCAATTGAAAGAAAATGGAAACATTTCCTATTTTGTTTGTGTTGTGAAAAGATGTTGGCAGAGCAGCTGCTTATAAACATTCCTTTATTATCCTAATTTAAGCCAATGCAAGGAGATACAATTGTAGTGAACTAGAGACGTGAAAGCAGGCTTGGGGGCTAACTTCTCTGTTTTGTTTGCTTGCTTTTTTTCATTTGTTTGCCTTTTTTGCTTTCAAGTTTCCCATCATGCTGCCTAAAGTTTGGAAGTCAGAGCTGCAAAAATCCCACCTCTGTGTGTGTGTGTGTGTGTGTGTGTGTGTGTGTGTGTATGTACACACCACAAGTCTGACTAGTCCCTATGTGAGTTCACACAACCAAACTCGAAACAGGTAAAAGAAAAGTAAAATGCATTAAATATTTAAAAGAGAATTTTAACTTAATATGTTGTTTAATCGCCTGGAGTTGAGACAGAGCAATTAGGGAAGTTTATTTGAGGACCTCAAGATGCATTTAATCCCTGATTTTTATGTCCGAATTTTTGGTGTCTTCCATTTCCTGCTGTTGCTCATCAGACTGAGCAATTAGAGCAACTGGAAGTCTTTCGCCTTTGGGCTTGAGCATGTCCAGTGCTGGAATCGTACAGAAGCTATAGGGGAATGAGACTTTTTTTCCCCCATTTGTTCCTGAATGACCAAAACAAAGATCTTGGCGGACTGGAAATCCTTTACCCTCTCCTCTCCACTCTTCTTTTTCCAGTTTATGTCCCTGACAGGCTGCACAGGTTGGAAGCTGTAGCCTGTCCAGTCTTTGAAATATTTTTTTCTGAATCATCTTACTCCAAAAGGAAGTGTTCAGTTAAGGTTAGATGTGTTAGACCCCAATCCTGCAATTGTTAGTGCACAGGCAGACTGTTCACACCGAGGCTCCATGCAGCACTCCGCCTGCATGCTATTACTTATTGGGTTGGCGCCTCATATAGGAAAATATCACCTGTGTACAGTAGGTGAGAAGATACTTACACAGATATTGAGGAAGTGAGTGTCTCTGAAGAGGGGTGTGTGTGTGTGTGTGTGTGTGTGTGTGTGTGTGTGTGTGTGTGTG